GTCAGGTGGATACTTCGGGGGAGTTCCTGGCAGGGCTGATCATCTTGTGCCTGGTTAACCATAGGAGAGGTTCCAGATAGTATTAAAGCCCATCGTGTTCTCATTCTGGAAATCCTGGACCATGAACTGTTGGTGGATGTTAGTAAATGGAGGCCAGTAATGGTTACAGGGATTGTGCTGCAGCTCTTCTCTAGTACGCTAACAAATTATGTAAAGTTTACCTGGTAAACACACGGTAAAATAAATTTTCAGAACTGAGTTTCTTGGAAGACTGGGCTGTCCTACATCTAGGAATAGGCTAAGAAGAATTACAAGCTACAAGGAGTTAGCGTATGGACACGACTAATACATTTATTAATGCATGTTGTGATGCAAAGGGAGGAAGTTGTGAACCTCACTACATCCTCCTACAGGAGCAGGAGTTTAGAATGAAAGGGATTATTCGTATCTAATTCAGAATGAAGGGAGGCAGTTTAAAGTCTACCATGATATTCAGCCTGCTAACTAACCCACTGAAGTTGGAATTTGAAGGTGTGAGGTTAACAATTGTTTCCTCAGCTTTGAAGATGATCTGGGTGGGCCACTTACCACCAGTAGCAGATGTCCTGTGAGGAGTTTATTTACAACCTTTTGAAGAAATCCTTGCAGGCAGCAAAGAGGTAGAAGTGCCCTTGGCATGCTTTTTTATGTCTCTGCAGAACTAAGTGCTATCTAGCTTATGCTGTTGGAAAGATAATTCTTCCAGACAGTACAGGCAGCTTTATGGTGTCTGCTCAGCTGTATTGACCTGTAACTATCTGCAATAATTTTTAATCTGTCGTCTTTTTTTTTTATTGTGTCTGGTTTCTGCATAATTTGAAGGTTCTGTCTTTAGCTGCAATATTCTTCGAGTGAACATTCAATATTCTTGGTCTTTTAATAATTGTTTGAAGTTCAATTTATTGAACTACAACTCCTGCTACAGAATCTTCTCTGTATTATCTTTCTCATTCCTACTAAATCATGCTTGATTTGTTTCTTTCCTTGAGTTGATCTTAATGTGTCTTCTTTAAAGGAAATCTTCCTCCATTTTTTTGTCTTTTTTTGCATTCAATATTCCTTTAACCTGTAATCAACTTGGTACACTTTATCACTGCTCTCAAGGGACATGATACAGGATCATTTTCACTGTTGCGAGGTGTAGCTTCTAACACAAGAGTGCCTGCACGGCAAACATTCATGCTTTTGTCAGTCAGATAACCAAGAGCAGGTTTAAATTTCAACCTTGAATTTCACCCTGTAAAGGCTTTTTGTTTGGTTGGGTTTTTTTAAAGCAGTTTCTGCACCAGCACATTTCTCTAGGTAGTTGGAGGTGATCAGGAGTTGGAATTTTAAAATGCAAGTTCTGGGATTGAGTAGCCTGGAGAAGAGAAGGCCCAGGAGGCATTTTATCAATGTGTATAAATAGCTGATGGGAAAGAGGGAAGAAAATTTGGCTAGGCTTATTTCAGTGGTATCCAGTGAAAGGGCAAGAGTAAATGGCCAGAAACTGTAAACCATGAAATTCTACTTAAAACATAAAATTTTATTTATTTATTTATTAACTATAATGGCAATTGAT